AAATTGTTTACTTAGATTTTTATGAAACCTTTTTTTATAGTTTCACTGTGATTTTTAATTTTGGAAATGTACTAAAGCAAATAAACATAAAATAAAAACAGAAAAAAATGTCACAAAAGAATGAAAAGGTATATTGAGCAGGGAGAAAATAAATAATGAAGAAATTGGACTCAGGAAGGCAAAGCACTCCAAACTAATTTCCACCTTGCGCTTCAGGGCTTCCATCTCATTATTTCTTTATTACATAGGAAGAAGAGTGGGAGATTTTCTAGATACTCTCTGCCTGTGAACTTGATTTATATTCACATGGAGTCATAGCAACAGGTCAGAAAGAACCATTGTTGTTAAAGAAAATTAGAGTATATACGTACTGAATAAATGTAACTGATTCCTGCTTTGTGTTAATGAGTGGATCAGTGACTCTTTTCTGCTTGACTTGTTTATGTACACATGTTACTCTACATTTGCCATGCTCTTGAAAGAGGTATGACTCATAACCTGATAATTTACTGCTATTAAACATGGGTTAGAGAGACAGAAAATCTCCCTGATAGAACAGAAGAAATAACAATAATAAAGTAGCCCATTTATCTGATGCTCTAACCTCATTTCCTGTTTTTCTGGCCTTGTCCCTTTCCTCTTAAATCTTCAGGCTCTCTGACAGATGGACGGAAGTTCGACTCTTCCCGTGACCGTGACAAGCCATTTAAGTTCAAGATTGGTAAACAGGAAGTGATCCGTGGCTGGGAGGAAGGTATTGCGCAGGTATGTGATGGTGTTTTGTCCACTCAGAATATCATGTGTAACACTTTTTGAGTTAAATTAAGGTTAAATGGTGTCTTAATGAAGCACTACCAAATCCAGACTGCCTAGGATTGATATTTCAAATGAAAAAAAAATTCAAATAATTCATGCTTATGTTTGTGTGACTTTAGATGAGTGTGGGCCAACGTGCAAATCTGACCTGTTCACCTGATTATGCCTACGGTAATAAAGGCCATCCTGGGATTATTCCCCCAAATGCGACCCTCATCTTCGATGTGGAGCTTCTCAGTCTGGAGTGATTTAATGCTTGTCACTGCCTTTTGTTAATTTTTCATTATTTTATTAATGTTTCAAGTGTCAAAAGGTTTAGTCTTACCATTAGAAACCTGATTAAATCAATTTTCTATTTCTGTCAGGCCATATTTTTAGTCATTCTTCTCAGAGCCATCTTTATTCAGCATTCCACCCTACAGTTTTAGGCACATTATGTAAAGATCTGTGCTTTATTTTATCAGAGTTCTCCAACATTTCATCTTTTGCTTTGGTCACATTTCATCAGAAATAATTCTTTAGCTCCTTTATTTTTAATCCAACATTTTTCCTGTCTAATTGATATGATAATCACCAAATCACCAAAAACCGTGCAATGTCCTTAATCCTGAACTTGAACCCTTGAATGAACCCTTTAGACATCTCTTCTCTTGTGACTTTTTCTTACACTGTGATTGTTGTTGGCTTGAGACCAAGTACAAATTTGTTAAAGAATTGGCGACCTTATCCCTGAATAGTAATCTAAAAAAAGAAAACATATATTTATCTTAAAGATGTTTTATTTGGGATATAAAATTTTGCATATTTATTGCATTGTTACGTTTTAGATTGAATAAATTAATAAATTACATTTTATACTTTTTATCATTAAACATTATATTTTCAGTCAGAATTGTTGGGTTTGAACAGGTCTGCTGATTTTAATTAGTACAAAGAAGCAAATTCTTGAACAATCCTTGTGCTTCATTGTGTTTGACACTTGCCAGGATACCACTAGTTTTGTATATTTACAAAGTGACCATATCAACTGAAAAAGTGCCATCATATTACCTGAAATCAAACTTTGTGGTAGACCAGGCTGATTAATATAAAATGATGAAGTATGAAGTGATAGTACTGCCATTTCTGCCACTACTATTTCTGTCAGTTTGATGTGCAACATTTTTTATATATAGTTTTTGTTTATTGTTTGCTCTATTTTATTAACATGCAACTATTTGGAAATGTTTTAAATTTGTTTATTTTGTTCTGTGTTTGATTAGGTTGTGTAGTTGAGTAGGTGGCACATTTGGCACTGTAGCAATGGATGCATGCCATTCTTAGTGCTTAAGGATTTTGTGATCACTGTTCATTGTCTCATCAAATCTCAGAACAATCCATTAACTTTCTGTTCTCACGGAGACTGGAAAATTTGTTTTCATTGATGGACAAAGATCTGAAAAACAAAATAAGGGGTTGTGGCTTCTTAGCACATTGTAACCTACATATTGTGACATGCATATGACATACAGTACTTGCCATTCATATTTACATATTGATGCTAAATTATTTGCAGCCATTCATGGTTGTTAATGTTGACCATGCTGCCTAGACAATAGATGTGATTATACTGGATGCAGATACAGTACTTTTTTGTATTGACATGGAAATAATTTTTAATTTAAAAGAAATCTGCAGATGCTTAAATACTTGATGCTGGCAATTTCTGTGATTACAAGGCAAGCATCAAATATATGGCTTTAATATTTCTGTAATGCACTCTATATTTATGTATTATGTATAGGAAGACAATAAAATAATTCAAATGTGCTATAAAGTGCTTTTACATGTTTTGGAAAATGTTGCTTGTTTGTGTCATTTCAGCTTAGTACCTTCACTGCTTTATGGCTATGTATAGTGTCCACTAATAATCCCTTATGTTCTTTTATTGGTACTCCTATAATAAATGAAAGCTGAAAAGCAGGAAACATTTACCTTAAAATTTTATGGAAGCAGATTTACAATGAGATCCAACTCAATTAATTTACAGCTGATGTATGGTTCAGCAATTTATTCGTTATGGAAGCTATTGTATAACACATAAATCAGAATCAAACCAAAGCATGTATAGCTACAATACTTCAAATGATTGTAGTCATTTTATGTTGTTACTGAGCTAAATTTGATATATTGGTAGAACTGATAAATTGGTATTCCAGCACTGCCATCACTCTGGAGTTATTGTTACCAGTTTTTGGCAGGCAGAGTAACAGTGCTAAAGTTAATGAGTAATAAAAATATAAATAGATGTTTCAGCCCAACCTCCTACATGAATGAGGTAGCAGGAAGTAAACTGTGTTACTTAACCAAAGAAATATACGCGCAAGTACTTTTTTCTCGATCACCTCCCCTCTGTTCACTTCTGCACCAACCTAAAGAGGAAAAGGGTCCCGTTTACTGTGCTTGGCTTGTTTACATTTCTTCTCATCACATTTATCAAATTTCTTCAGAAGTCAGTCGTTTGAAAGCAAAAAGGTAAGACGCCACACTCTCTAAACTAAATATTGTTATTTTAATTATCGTCAGAGTGATTTTATTCAGTCGGGTATGTGGGACTCGCTGGCTAACCGAAGCTAACGTTAAACTTAACCAGGCTCCAGCTAACACACACACACACACACACACACACACACACGAAGAACAAAGACGTACTTGTGTTTACTTCGCTGAGCTCAGTTCAGTTATATTTGTTGTATTTTTTAAGGATATTTTGTATCATATCACTCGGTCATTATTTTAAGGAGAACGAGATATAACTATTCGTGTAATTAGCATGATTGTGCGGTTGCTAACGGCGTTGCCGTGACTAGCTCGAGAGCTAAACACAACAAATACAGTCTGAATCAGTCAGACTGCTTTTATGTTGTGGTAATATTGCTTAGTTTAAGGTGACATAGTAGATAAAACCTTAGTTTAGTTTTTAAAACAGTTGACAGGTGCATTCATTGCCTTACAGTTATTGGGTAATTTAGAGCAGAAAATGAAATGTTCATGACTATAGATTACATATATACATTGTTCGGCAGTGAATCACATGACGATGTCGATGATATATTTAGATATTTGCCACGTAGCGGAAACATTCAGACATTTTGTTTTAGGCGTTTTCGCATTTGACGTATTAAATGTTATTAATCCCACGATGTTTGTCTGCTATGAAACCTGGTCCTGTTTGTTTCTTGAGAAACAAGTCTTACTTTCGATTATACCTGTATGTTAATTTCAGTCAATAAATAATGGAAGGAACTGAATTATTGTTGACTGAATAGCGGAAAACATACGAACAAACAAAGGAATAAATGAGTGATGCTGTAAATGTTGTTATAACCTAGTTTTTTCATTGGATTTTTGGTTGAAGGGACTTTCCCACATGATGACATCAGTCAGCTGGAATAATCGCATTATTTAATCGTTGACATTTATGTCACTAGGAGAGATTGAGAAAGGTCTTGTAGTCTTAATAAAATGTGTCATATTTAGTTTATGACAGCAATGTTATATTTTCCCAAAAGCTATGGATGGGATATTGCCACATGGATCCTTTGCTGGACTCAGTCAATAGAGTTACAGACTTGTTGCCATGGTAGAGTCGTTTATTATGCTCAGCACTCATTCAGTCTGCCTGAAATTAGCTTTGCCTTTTCTCCCCATTCCAGAGGCCCCTCACCCACTCATCCGGACAGTTATCCACTGGCTTTGTCCCTAACTTGAGTTTGCACTAAAGATTTTCTTTTCTGCAATTTCAATGAAAGTAGTTCACCTTCAGTCAAAGATGTCTTTTAAACCAGATTCAGGCAGTTTGAAATAATTCTGCTGCTTCTGCATGATCTTGCATTAGTTTTGTGTGTCAGTTGAGTTTCCACAATGTTTCATGTGATTTATTCAGGTTTACTCTAAAGTTTAGATAAAGATAGGGTTGTTATAGTTTACAATTGAGTTTTTATTCCTTTTTATTTTTATTTGTTTTCAGTTTAGTTTATGTATCTAAAACTAAAATGAGTTGTGGCCACTTTATTATGTATTAATTAATTTTAGAATGTAGTATAGTTTCTGGTTTCTTAATTATGTTATATTTATGTTTATATTATTAAATTTTTTTTAAATTGTGTTTCAGTTTTTGTTAAAGTCAGCATGAAATGAAAATTCAGACTATTTAATTTCTAAATGTTTGTTATTGATCTTATGGTGAATTATTGATTCATCAATGTATGTTTCATTTATTTATTTATTTATTTTTGCCTGTATATATTTAACCCTCTGGTATGGTTCATTTGGGGGTCACACTTGTGTTGTTTGTGGTCAAAAGTGACCGAACACCTGAAATGTAACTTTTTTATTTTCAATCTAGACTATGTTTTTGTTCAGTAATATTTGTTCTTATTTATTTTGTATTTTGAGAGAATTTCATGATGCTAATTAATATTTATGCTATAATTATGATAATTTTTTCCCCCATTGAAAATAATACAATTTGTTTTTCTAATATTTTTATATTACGTTTCAGTTATGGCAGTATTTTATGAAGGTAAAATAGTAGCAAACCTCGAGAGCTTGTTGATTTGAATTTGAGGACTTTTCATATTAATATTCGTATTTGAAAGTTGAAATTTATACTCACAGCTCTGATGTGAAAAGCGGAATCTTTTGATTTGCACTAGGGGTGCTCCGATCAGGATTTTTGAGGCCGATCACAGAAAGCAGTATCTGCCGATACCGATCACCGATACCGATCTTTTTAAAGCGTTCTTTTTATAATTTATTACTATTTATAGTGATACTCCAACCAGGATTTTTAGACATTTATTCAGGGCCTGAATTTCATTTTTGAAAATGGGGGGAATTCTCCTCTTAGGTGACTCTTGTGAGAGGAGAAGCAGCTTTCACACATGAGTCCACTACTGATCCGTGGCTGATTACCACAAACACAGCATTTATCCATTAGTTTGATTTCAAATCCAAACATTGTCACTGAAAATGCTTTTTCAGTATTGCAATTCTTTTTTTTTTACACAGTACAGTAACACAATCTTTCACAGACATGTTTAAACACAATAAATATAAGCAACACATTATTCAATGCTTTTTACTTTTGCATTTACTTCTAGATTTATATATTAAGTTGCTCAAGCAATTGGCAAAACATTTAAACTACTTTTCTTACGTTATCACAAAAATCCCATTGACAGAAATAGACAGCTCTACTGCCTTTTCTTTTGCATTGAAATCTTTATTACAAGCAATCCTGCGGTTCATAAAGAACTTTGTTTTCCTACCTCCACGAGTGCCATCTATTATTGCCTTGTTTATCTAAAAGTGCTCTTTTCCTTTAAACCTAGCCAAAAAGCCATACGTGTTGACTGTGAAACACAGTAGACTTTAATAATATGCAATTATGGTGTAATTGCTACATTTTCATGAACGCTTTGATCCGTTAACATGAGCGTGGAAAAAATACGCACCACGTATGCACTGCAAACGGAGTAATGTGAACCTGGCATTATG